GAGCGGGTCCAGAGGAGGGCTACAAAAATGATCCGAGGGCTGGAGCACCTCTCTTATGAGGACAGGCTGAGAGAGTTGGGCTTGTTCAGCCTGTAGAAGAGAAGGCTGCGGGGAGACCTGATTGCGGCCTTTCGGTACTTAAAGGGGGCCTATAGGAAAGATGGGGAAAATGTTTTTAGTAGGGCCTGCTGTGTCAGGACAAGGGGTAATGGTTTTAAACTGAAGCAGGGTAGGTTTAGACTAGATATAAGGAAGAAATTCTTTACAGTGAGGGTGGTAAAACACTGGAACAGGTTGCCCAGAGAGGTGGTGGAGGCCCCATCCCTGGAAACATTCAAGGCCAGGTTGGACGGGGCTCTGAGCAACCTGATCTAGTTAGCGGTGTCCCTGCTTACTGCAGGGGGTTGGACCAGATGACCTCCAGGGGTCCCTTCCAACCCAAAGCATTCTATGATTCTATGATTCCATGATTTTGTGTGATAGGAGCCAAGGTTCATTACGTTTCTCTGAAAATTCAGGCTCCATCTTGGCATTCCACATGACCATACTGCAAATGCAATACAATGACGATATCAGAATTTAAAATAAAAAAGGAAGTCAGAAGTGAAAGATGGCAAATCTTTTTCATCATGATACCATCTAAAATAAGAGAAACTACCCAGGGTCACCCACACGTTGATGCTGTGTGGGTGCCTGTTCAAAAGAAGTTTGGCCAATTTGCCTTAAGGGATGTTGATATCAAGAAAGAGCCAAGCATATAAAAAACAAATATTAAAATATATCAGTATATCAAAAAGTATCACATTTGCACAAACTTGACACCCTGGCTAGGACTCTCAGTATACAGTACAAGGATGAGGCCTGGACTTCAGACAGAACTGCAGTTGCTCTCCTGCTCCTTCAGCGTCTCTGTAACTTTAATCTAGAGTTAAAATGTGTTTATTGAGTACTGCTGGGATGCTCACATTAGTGCTTAGGCTGGCTTACGTGTTGCAGAATTAATTGCATGGAGTTAATTGCACACTTTAACTGCTTCAGCGTTATTTGAATTAGATTTCACACGGGCGAGCTGATGGTCTTGTGACGCAACAGAGCACTGGCCATTGCCACATGGATGCTGTATGCACAGTGGAGGCGTACTTCAGTCTTGATATATTTGCGCTATAAAAAGAAAGAGTTTACCTGCTGGAAAGTGGAGGGCCTGTGTTCTTAATCCAGCCCCCCTCAGCTGTCATAAAACTTAGTGGAAGGAAAAAAAAAGTCAAACGAAAAACCTGATATTCTTTATTTTTATTATAATTTTAACAACATGAGTAAATTGAAATCTGTAAGCAAAGCAATTACATGAGGAGGGTCTAATAAAGTTGTTCAAGCTACAACCTACTTCGATTGTTGAATCAAACTGAATAAAGCAGGCTGCTTTGATGGGTTTTTAGCTTCCACGAACATAATTGGCAGTGACATCTTCTTTTGCTTTAATGGCCATGGTCTTCTGTGGGCTGGGAGTTTCATAATCAGCTGAAAATAAAAAAAAAAAAAATCGGTCACTACTACAAATGGGGAAATTGCTGAAGCAAGTGCTACCCTC